TGTCTCGCTTCTGTTCCATCCTCCTGCATTTGGTGCACGGCTGCCGAAAGGTTCAGGATGGGGACAGAGTCCCTCTGTCCCCTTAGTTACTGTAGCTGCTCCTCTGGGTGCAGTTGTGCAGGGGGAAATGCCTGCTGCCCTGCCACAAAGCCCTGGGGCCAAGGAGCAGCACAGGGATCCCTCTGGAAATGGGGCTTCTTCCCATGTGTCGATGTGACAAGGGCGAGAAAGTGAACAGGTTCACTGAGCCTGTGCTGCTCTGCGTGGCAGAAGGGCTTTTCTGCTTCCAGGGCTCCCACGTTTCTGGCCGTTGGTACCCGGGTGTGGATTTGCCATCCTTGGGCACCATCCCTGGGGCCCTGGCTCTGCCAGCTCTGTTCCCTGTGAGGTGGTGGTGCCTTAACTGGTGGCTCTTTGTTCTGTCATCCCAGAGGCACAGCCAGCCTCCGGGGTACCCGGGAAGGGGTGTAGGCTCTTCACTCTTGTCCCGGAGTCAGGGTGAGCCCTGGCCTGACCGGGGGTGGGTTGTGCTTGTGGAGACAAGGGAACTGGGGAATCTGTTCCCAGAGGCTTGCAAAGGGGTGACCTTCCTGGGGGGATCCCCAACAAGGTCAGGGCTGGGCTGATGCCCAAGGACAAGGAGGGGGCATGGGTTGGGAGGCCTCACTGGGACCATCATGTTGCTCCACAAGGGACAGAGAAAGTCCTGAGGGAGGAGGTTGAGTTTGGAGGGGCCCAGGGCAGGCTGTGGTCTAGGGGAGCTGGGGGCTCTGGGGAGGAGTAGCCGTGTGAGCCTGGGGGAGCCCTGGTGGGGACAGGCCCCTTTTCAGGGTGCTGTCTGGGGAGGAGCAGGAGCCCTGGGTGGGCATGGGCCATGGGCGAGGGGCCGTTGGGGTGGAAGGAAGTGCCAAATTGTGTGGTGCCACAAATGACCCAGCAGGGCTGGAGCTGGGAACCCCCAGCCTTGCACAGCCCATGAGGATAGAAGGGACCCCTGAACTGCCCTGGGGACAGCCTGGAGGGGAGTGGGCTCCCACCCTGGTGCCTCGGACTCCACCTGCACAGGGCTTCCCCGAGACCCGCAGTGCTGGGGCTGAGTGCTGTCCTGACTGGTCCTTTGTCAGTGTTTGAAGGTGCTGTGGAGGTGAGGCTGGCGGACGGTGGCAGGCGCTGTGCTGGGAGAGTGGAGGTGAAACAACAGGGCAAGTGGGGGACCGTGTGTGGTGACTCCTGGAGCATGAAGGATGCAGCAGTGGTTTGTAAACAGCTGGACTGTGGGTCTGCTGTTGAAGCTCCTCAGTACGGACACTTTGGGCAAGGATCTGGCCCCATTTGGATGGATGATGTTGGCTGTAATGGCACCGAATCTGCCCTGTCTGACTGCACACACGGAGGATGGGGTGAACATAACTGTGACCATCTCCTTGATGCTGGAGTGGTGTGTTCAGGTAAGGGGATAACCTATTCCCCACCTCTGGGGCTGGGATTATGGAAGGATCTGGCTGCCCCCTCAGGGAGCAATGAGCAGACACTGGAGCACTGCTCAATGTGGCCAGTCACACTTCTGAGCTGGAACTGTCATTACTGGTGTCCCCAGTGCCTGGAGAAAGCCAGTGAGAACCTGCCCAGGGGTGCCTTACCGTGCCTGGTCCCTGAGCTGGTGCAGATGAACCCTCTATCCCTACCCTGCATGGTCTGTTGATTGCTATCTTTCTCCTCCTGTTCACCCAGGAGCTGTCTGGCGGTGCTGCGGGCCAGCTGCCCCCATGCCAGAGGCACCAGAACTGACTCCTGTGGCCACCCACTGATTTGGGGAAGGTCGTGAGATGGGGAGCTACTTTTGGGTTATCCCTGCTGGCAGACACAAGTCCCTAGGCTGAAGCAAAGGGGATGATCGGAGAGGAAGAGCACTGGGCTTGGCCAGAAGAGCAGGGTGGCACGTGGCACCTTGTTCCTCTCCCAGGGTCACCCCATGAGAGCCTGCCCATGGGGACATGGGACCGTGCAGGCAGTGCTGACCTGCCACCCAGCCTCTCCTGCCCGCCCCAGCCCCTGGCTGCTCTGTGCCACGGGCGATTTGCCAGAACTTACTGGCTGTCCTCTGTGCCTGCCCTTGCTCCAGGAGCTCATGGAAGCCCAGGGATGCTCTTCTCTCCACTCTCCTGCCTTCTGCCTGGCCACTGGTCAGGGCCATGCATGCCCAGCAGCGCACTCTGGCCATGGCTGAGAACCTCTGTCCTGGGTAGGCGCCAGAGAAGGGTGGTGGCACAGCCACCGATCACAGGTACAGCCTCACAGTCCCTTAGCCCTGTGACATGTTCCATGCACCAGCGGCTCCCCACCAGCCCAAGATGCCCGTGGGCATGGGGTGTACTTCTTGTGGCACCAAGGGGCTCCTCACGCCTGGCGCTGAGCTCAGTGGGGCAGCGCAAGCTGCAGCAGCCAACCGTGCCTGGCCCCATTTCCCCAAACGCCGAGTGCTGTGGGGGCTACAGAGCCCAGGGACCAGTACTGGGCAGCCCAAGGTCTCTGTGGCAGCAGCAGTTTTTTAGAGAGATTCCTGTGGCTGTGAATGATGGGAGAGAAACAAGCCCCCAATTGCTGTGCTGATTTCTGAGGAGCAGCAGGGCCGGGCCTGATGTGTTTGTACCACCAGCACACCCTGAGAGCAGCTGGGGATGTCATAGGGCTTTTTGTCTGTGGCCACCTTGGAGATCAGCTGGCATGTAGTCAGGCTATTTCCAGAGGGCTGTGGGAACTCTCAGGGGTCATTGGTTGGTCCAGAATCTGTCCGGCTGCTCTAAGGACACAGATCCTTCTGAGAACGTATAGTGATCCATGAGGAGGCACTTTGGACAGCGGTGTGTGACCCACACTTTGGCCCCAACGGTGCCAACGTGGTTTGCAGAGTCTGCTGTGGGTCTGCAATAGACACACACCACTGTGTGCTGTGATGGTGGAGAGAAGGTGTGTAACTTGGCATGGATGCATTAGTGACACCATCACCCCTTAAATATCTTCTTCTAAGATGTGCAGTGAGTGATTTTGGTCACAGCTTGCATGGAGGTGTTGTGAGATGTGGGCATGGGAATGCCACAGGGCTATAGGAATTCCCAGTTGATTTATTTCCAGGATTTGTCCGTCTGGCGGAAGGGAAGAACCGCTGCTCAGGACGTGTGGAGATCCGTGACGGGGACCTGTGGAAAAGTATCTGTGATTCCCACTTTGGTCCCAAGGCTGCTGACGTGCTCTGCAGGGAGTTGCAGTGTGGCGCAGCCCTGCCTGTCGCTGGAGGAAGTCACGTTGGAGAAGGGGTGGGTCCCATGTGGGATGGAGAGCTGCGGTGTGTGGGGAATGAATCCCTCCTCGCCTCCTGCCCCAGGGGGTCCCCTCGGGACCAGCCCTGCACCCACGCAAACAGCGCTGCTGTGAGCTGCACAGGTAAGGACTCAGGGTGGGCTGTTGAACACCGGGGCTGTGCTGGGGGCAGGGGAGGAGGGCAGGGATTGTGCTGGCCTTGGCCTGAGAACAGGAGGGGTGATGTTGTCTCCTGCAGTCTGCAGTTAAGCAGGAAAAGATGCAGAAGCCAATGTCTCGCTTCTGTTCCATCCTCCTGCATTTGGTGCACGGCTGCCGAAAGGTTCAGGATGGGGACAGAGTCCCTCTGTCCCCTTAGTTACTGTAGCTGCTCCTCTGGGTGCAGTTGTGCAGGGGGAAATGCCTGCTGCCCTGCCACAAAGCCCTGGGGCCAAGGAGCAGCACAGGGATCCCTCTGGAAACGGGGCTTCTTCCCATGTGTCGATGTGACAAGGGCGAGAAAGTGAACAGGTTCACTGAGCCTGTGCTTCTCTGCGTGGCAGAAGGGCTTTTCTGCTTCCAGGGCTCCCACGTTTCTGGCCGTTGGTACCCGGGTGTGGATTTGCCATCCTTGGGCACCATCCCTGGGGCCCTGGCTCTGCCAGCTCTGTTCCCTGTGAGGCTGGTGGTGCCTTAACTGGTGGCTCTTTGTTCTGTCATCCCAGAGGCACAGCCAGCCTCGGGGGTACCCAGGAAGGGGTGTGGGCTCTTCACTCTTGTCCTGGAGTCAGGGTGATCCCCGGCCTGACCGGGGGTGGGTTGTGCTTGTGGAGACAAGGGAACTGGGGAATCTGTTCCCAGAGGCTCGCAAAGGGGTGACCTTCCTGCGGGGATCCCAGACAAGGTCAGGGCTGGGCTGATGCCCAAGGACAAGGAGGGGGCATGGGTTGGGAGGCCTCACTGGGACCATCATGTTGCTCCACAAGGGACACGGAAAGTCCTGAGGGAGGAGGTTGAGTTGGGAGGGGCCCAGGGCAGGCTGTGGTCTAGGGGAGCTGGGGGCTCTGGGGAGGAGTAGCCTGTGTGAGCCTGGGGGAGCCCTGGTGGGGATAGGTCCCTTTTCAGGGTGCTGTCTGGGGAGGAGCAGGAGCCCTGGGTGGGCACAGGTCAGGGGCGAGGGGCTGTTGGAGTGGATGGAAGTGTCAGAGTGTGTGGTGCCACAAATGACCCAGCAGGGCTGGAGCCAGGGCACCCCCAGTCTTGCACAGCCCATGACGATAGAAGGGACCCCTGAACTGCCCTGGGGACAGCCTGGAGGGGAGTGGGCTCCCACCCTGGTGCCTCTGACTCCACCTGCACAGGGCTTCCCCGAGACCCGCAGTGCTGGGGCTGAGTGCTGTCCTGACTGGTCCTTTGTCAGTGTTTGAAGGTGCTGTGGAGGTGAGGCTGGCGGACGGCGGCAGGCGCTGTGCTGGGAGAGTGGAGGTGAAACAACAGGGCAAGTGGGGGACCGTGTGTGGTGACTACTGGAGCATGAAGGATGCAGCAGTGGTTTGTAAACAGCTGGGACTGTGGGTCTGCTGTTGAAGCTCCTCAGTACGGAGAGTTTGGGCCAGGATCTGGCCCCATTTGGATGGATGATGTTGGCTGTAATGGCACCGAATCTGCCCTGTCTGACTGCACACACGGAGGATGGGGTGAACATGACTGTGCTCATGGTTATGATGCTGGAGTGGATGTGTTCAGGTAAGGGGACAACCTATTCCATACTTCTGGGGCTCAGATTGTGGAAGGAACCTGGCTGTGCTCTCAGGGAGCAAAAAGTCAGGACACCAGGAGTATTGCCCAGTGTGGACTAGTCAAACTGCTGAGCTGGAACTGTCATTACTGGTGTCCCCAGTCCCTGGGGAAAGCCAGTGGGAACCTGCCCAAGGGTGCCTTACCGTGCCTGGTCCCTGAGCTGGGCACAGATGAACCCTCTATCCCTGCCCTGCATGATCTGTTGATTGCCATCTTTCTCCTCCTGTTCACCCAGGAGCTGTCTGGCAGTGCTCAGGGGCAGCTGCCCCCATGCCAGAGGCACCAGAAGTGACTCCTGTGGCCACCCACCGTCCTGTGGAAGGGCGTGAGATGGGGATCTACTTTTAGGATTGTCCCCCTTCAGCAGACACAGGTCCCTTGGCTGATGTGTTTGTGCCACCAGCACCCCCTGAGAGCAGCTGGGGACGTCGTAGAGTTTTTTTGCCTGTGGCCACCTTGGAGATCAGCTGGCATGTAGTCAGGGTATTGCCAGAGGGCTGTGGGAACACTCAGGGGTCATTGGTTGGTCCAGAATCTGTCCGGCTGCTCTAAGGGCACAGGTCCTCCTGAGGATGTATAGTGATCCATGGTGAGGACCTTTGGACAGCGGTGTGTGACTCACACTTTGGTCCCAACGGTGCCAACGTGGTTTGCAGAGTCTGCTGTGGGTCTGCAATAGACACACACCCCTGAGTGCTGTGATGGTGGAGAGAATGTGTGTAACTTGACATGGATGCCTTTGTGACACCATCACTCCTTAAATAGCTTCTTCTGAGATGTGCAGTGAGCGATTTTGGTCACAGTTTGCGTGGAGATGGTCTGGGATGTGGGCATGGGAATGCCACCAAGATCTGGGAACTCCCAGTTGATTTATTTCCAGGATTTTTCCGTCTGGTGGAAGGGAAGAACCACTGCTCAGGACGCGTGGAGATCCGTGACGGGGACCTGTGGAAAAGTGTCTGTGATTCCCACTTTGGTCCCAAGGCTGCTGATGTGCTCTGCAGGGAGTTGCAGTGCGGCGCAGCCCTGCCTGTCACTGGAGGAAGTCACGTTGGAGAAGGGGTGGGTCCCATGTGGGATGGAGAGCTGCGGTGTGTGGGGAATGAATCCCTCCTCGCCTCCTGCCCCAGGGGGTCCCCCTCGGGACCAGCCCTGCACCCACGCAAACAGCGCTGCTGTGAGCTGCACAGGTAAGGACTCAGGGTGGGCTGTTGAACACCGGGGCTGTGGTAGGGGTTGGGGAACAGAGCAGGGACCGTGCTGGGCCGGGTGTGAGGACAGGAGGGGTTGATGGGTTTGTTTGCAGCATGACAATACTGCAGAAGGAGAACAAAGGCATGTGGTCCCTCTGGCCCCTCCACCAGCTACTGAGGGTACAGGAGCACTAATCCACTCTCTTTTCTCCACATCTGTCCCCAGAGTACACAGGGATCAGACTGGTGAACGGCAGCACAGTGTGTGCGGGGAGGGTTGAGGTCCAGGTGATGGGAACCTGGGGGACCCTCTGTGCCTCCCGCTGGGACCTCTCGGATGCCCACGTTCTCTGTCGTCAACTCAACTGCGGGTTTGCTGAGTCCATTCCTGGAGGAGAATATTTTGGGAGAGAAACTGGCCCTGTCTGGAGAGACTCATTCCACTGTGACGGGACTGAAGCCCTCCTGCAACAGTGCCCAGTGACCACCCTGGGGGCCTCACCGTGCTCCCAAGGGAACGCTGCTGCTGTCCTTTGCTCAGGTTAGTGCTGGAAAAATGCTAGCATGAACGCCATTTGTCACTTGTGTGCAACATAGCCACTAAAAGTAGGGGTTCCATGGCCGTATCAGGCTGAATTTCTCCTTGGGGAAACCCTGGCTTCCCCAGGAGCCAGTCTGGAGGGCTTTCCCTGCTCAGACTGACCGCTCGAATTTGGGAGAGCTGAGGACTGAACGGAGGCAGGCATCTGCCCCCAGGTACAGTGGCTTAGGCCCCAGCACCACCGCCAGGCCCAGGCTCCTCTGTCCTCGTACTGTGCAGCGAGCCCAGGACAGGGCTGCAGGGCTCTGCTCCATCCCTCTGGCTGCAGCCGACCGCATCCCGTCCCCACAGAGAGCCCTGCAGAGCCTCATCCCCCCACCCAGGCAGGAGCTGGTGCCCCCAGCAGCAGCTGACCTGGCTGTGAGCTGCAGAGAGGGCCCAGGCTTTGCCCTTGTTTCTCGTCAGCACAAGGCTCCACCTTGTCCCATTTGGATTGAAAATCCCCCCTCGCCCTGCTCCCTGCAGGGTGCCATGCTCCCGGTGCCGCTGATGGCTGTGGCATTTCTGCTCTCCCCAGGCCCAGCCAGGCTTTGGATCCCTGCGGCTGGTGGGCGGAGGGAGCCGGTGCGACGGACGAGTGGAGATCTTCCAGGATGGGGCGTGGGGCAGAGTCCTGGATGAGCAGTGGGACGTGCAGGAGGCCAGCGTGGTGTGCCAGCAGCTGCAGTGCGGAGAGGCAGGGACAGCCTACAACCCCCCAAAGCCTGAGCGAGGGACGGGCTCCGTGGGGCTGCGAGGGGTCCGGTGTGCAGGGCACGAGGCCAAGCTGACCCTCTGCAACACCTCCCTGCCCGGCAGTGCGCTGGCAGCAGGGCTTGCGGAGGACGTGGGAGTCATTTGCTGGGGTGAGTGGCACTGCCCAGGCGCCCAGGTGACGGTCTGCGCAGGCGGGCAGGCCCTGACAGCGACTGGGGTTTCCACCCGCTGCAGGGAGCCGGCGGGTCCGGCTGGTGAACGGGGCCGGGCGCTGTGCAGGGAGAGTGGAGATCTACTCCCAGGGCATCTGGGGGACTGTCTGCGACGACGGCTGGGACCTGTCTGATGCCGCCGTCATTTGCCACCAGCTGGGCTGCGGAGAGGCAGTGGAGGCAGCCGGCTCCGCTCGCTTCGGGGAAGGCTCCGGGCAGATCTGGCTGGATGGTGTGAACTGCTCCGGGGCCGAAGCTGCTCTCTGGGACTGCCCAGGCTGGGCCCTGGGGGCAGCACGACTGCGGGCACAAAGAGGATGCGGGAGTCGTCTGCTCAGGTCAGTGCCACCTCAGGAGCTGTGGTGGGAGCCTGGTCCCGGGGAGGGCAGGACGCGGGGAGAGCCGGCCATGGCCAAGGCTGCCCCTGGCTGCCTCTGAGCTCCTGCCCGAGTCCCACCCATGCACGGACACCCTCAGTCCCACGGGGGGTCCCTGGGGAGCTCAGCCGTCCCTGAGGGTTAGCGGGAAGGGCAGGGCTGGCTGTAAATCCGGGACTTCTCTCTGCCCCTGGGTGCAAGGGGGATGTGGTGGCCTTGCCCCTACCCGGCTGAGGGCCTGGGGGGGTGTAGAGGTGTCCTGGCTCCCACAGCCCCAGATCAGCCTGTTCCCGCTTTGGGGCCTTTTCTTCCCAGAGTTCATGGCCCTGAGGCTGGAGAACAGCGACGGCTGCTCCGGGCGCCTGCAGGTTTTCTACAACGGGACATGGGGGAGCATTTGCTCTAACTCCATCACTGACAACACGGTGACACTGGCGTGCAAGGAGCTGGGCTGCGGGGACAGAGGATCCCTCGAAACACGCCTGCCCTCTGGCAGGGTGTCTGGCCCTGCCTGGCTGGATCGCGTGCGGTGTGGGGAGACAAACAGCTCTTTCTGGCAGTGTCCCTCCACACCCTGGAACCCACAGTCATGTGAATACCTGGAAGAGGAGATCCACATCACCTGCAATGGTAACTCTGAGGCACCCAGGCACCAGTGTCACCCCAGCTCCTGCTCCCCACAGGGCATGGCCAAACACAGAGAAAGAGCTTGGAGAGGCTTTTACTTTCCATGCCAGACCCTTGTGCTGCCAGTGGCACAAACGTGACCGCGGCCACACACATCCAGCAGCAGTTGCCACCCAGGTTACCAGCAGTGCCTGCGGGAGGCAGAGGCATCTCCAGGTGAGGTCTCAGAAGAGACCAGATGGTTTCAGAAGAGCCTCCCCTCCACAGACAAGCTACTGCTGCTCTGTGAGCCAGGGACCTTCTGGGGCTGAGCAATCAGGGTCCCCCCACAGTCCTGCATGTGTCCCCTGGATGACAGGGTTTCAGTTGCTGCCCCAGATGGTGCAGGGAGGCCCGAGCAGAGCTCAAGCCCCACTCTCTTCTGCATGATCCCCCAAACCAGCCCCTTCACCACAGTGTTTCCTTCTTCAGGGGGACAGCCAGAAATGCCTCCAACCTCGCTGGCACCGTGCCCCAACTCCACGAGCTGCACAGGTAGGGAGCTCCCCTCTGTGTCTGGCAGGGCTCTGCCTGCTCTCCCGGTGCCATGGGAGGTCTTACTCTTCTCCAGCCAGGGAGAAGATTCGTGCCGTGGGAGGCAAGGACGAGTGCTCGGGCAGAGTGGAGGTCTGGCACCGTGGCTCCTGGGGGACGGTGTGCGACGACTCGTGGGACATGCAGGGTGCCGAGGTGGCATGCAGGCAGCTGGGCTGTGGCCCCGCGGTGTCTGCCCTGCATGAGGCTGCATTTGGGATGGGGACGGGCCCCATCTGGCTGGAGCAGGTGGAGTGCCAGGGGACGGAGCCATCCCTGCAGGACTGCTGGGCCCGGCCTGGGGACAGCGGGGCTTGCCGGCACAAGGAAGATGCTGCTGTGCGCTGCTCAGGTTAGTGGCAGGGCTGGGAGCCTTTGCTCGGGTATTAGCAGGGAACTAGGGAAGGACTTTTGTCCACGCGGTCCGGGCATGGACCCCGACCTTCCGAGAGAAAGAACATTCCTGTGGAGTGCAGGAGCCCGGTGCCAGGCAGGGAGCATCCTCGGTGTAACTGGCCATGCTCTGGCCACTGCCCATGGGGCCCTGCAGCCCCAGGACTATCCCCTGGGCTGCCTCTGCCATCCTGCCTGCCTCCCAGAGCAGAGGTGCTGGGCTCTGTCCCGGCCTCCCTTTCTGGCACTACAGGAGGGGCAATTTGGGTGGGATGTGTCAGGGACATCTAGAGACACACACACACACACACACACACACACACACACACACAACACGGTGTGTTGGGGAGGAGGTTTCCTGATACCCACACACCCAGTGTCTCAGCCCAGCTCTCCTTTTCCTCCTCTGCAGCTACACCCAGGACGACAACACCCCCACCCCGAGCAGGTAACTTGTCCTCCCCGGAGTCTGGGTACCCCCGGGGCCAGGCTGTGACCCACAGCTGGATGGAAGGGGCTCCTAGCTGGGGTGTGAAACTGCCTGGAGGAGATACTGGAGTGGTGGCAGGGGGTTGGGGAGAGCTATAATTTACCCAGGATGGTGGAAGCTTTCCTGTCACTCACCCCTGGGGTGCTGCCCCTTCGAAGTTGTCTCCCATGCAGATCCCACCCGAGGCCATCAGAGCAGCAGCGGGAGAGTCTCAGTGCCCGTCATCATGTGCATCATCCTGGGGACCCTTGTCTGCTTGCTCCTGGCCCTCCTGGCTGGGCAAGTGCTGAGCGCCAGGGCTGGGCGCAGAGGTGGGTCCTTGCCCAGAGGTGCCGGGGGGAGATACCTCCTGGTAGGGCTGTAGGGTGCTGCGGGGGGTGTCAGCAAGGGGCACAGGCAGAGCGGGAGGGTGAGACTGTGTGCTGCTACCTGCCTCGTGCTTCCCCGTTGAGTGCCTGGCTGTGGGGCACCAGCAGCAAGGGGTGGAGAGAGCCCCGAGGTGGGGGCAGTTAGCCATGGTGTGAGGAGAGAAATGGCAGAGAGGGGATGGCCAAGGCTGGCAGTGCTCTCGGTAGTGCTGGAGGGGGCTCTGGGGCAAGAGAGATGCTAGGAGGAGTGTGGGGCAGCAGGGTCCATCACCGTGGTGTCAGGCCCCCAGGCTGTCCCCCTGCCCAGCCCTGCCCACCCCCTGGTGGGACAGGGGCAGGTAGGGGCAAGCTCCAGGTGGAGAGGAAATGTGGGAACATATCCGGGGTGAGACAAGGGGGACATGGCGCACAGGCCAGAGGGGCATGAGCACTGTCTCCAAAGGGATGATGTGAGGGTGATGCTGCCCCAGATAATCTTCACACCAATGCTGCCCTCACTGGGGATGTGGCAGCTGTGCCTGGACAGTGCAGTGGGGCTGTGCTGTTGGACCAGTCCTGAGGTGGCACATGGAACCGTTTTGGGGGAGCACAGTGGGGTCCCTTTGCCCCTCTGCCTGTCCCTGTGCCAGCCCTGCCTCTGTCCACAGGCTCCAGAAGAGCCCAGGAGCCCTTCCCCGAGGCTGTGTACGAGGAGATCGGGTACAGCCCAGCGTGGGAGAAACGGGCCAGGTTTGATCGCTCAGGTGGGTGTGGGTCTTCCCTGGAGGCACATCCGCAGGACCCTTTCCTTTGGCCCCAACCAGGAGCTGACCCTCTGAAGCCCCCCAGCCTGTGGTCCCTGTGGTGCTGGGGCTGTGGGGGCTGTGGGGAGAGCATCCAGGTCCTGGGACCAGGAGAGAAGCTTTCTCCCAGTCAGCTTTGACTGTCCCAGCTGGACAGCCCCTCTCTTCCTGCCCCTGCACCCCATGAGACACCCGAGGAGCGAGGGAAGGGGCTGTCCTGGTCCAGCTCTGGAAGCTCCTTTGAGACAGGGTTTGTCCCGGGGGAGCAGGGTGAATTCCCAGCCCTCCTCCCCACACAGCCCCAGCTCTGTGGGTCCCCCTTCCCCAGCAGCGCTGACCGTGAACCACGTCAGTGGGGCTTGCTCCATAACACCCGCTGTGCATCTCTCCAGGCTCCTATTCAGAGGAGTCCCTGACCCAGCTGCAGCCCCACCCTGGGGTCAGTGAGGAGGAGAAAGGTCTGGGATCAGCACCAGGTAACGGAGGCAGGAAGGGGTTGATCTCCCTGCAGACATGGGGTGGACAGAGGTGTCCCTGAGTGTCACCATCGGAGAAGGGGAGGACATGGGCATCACTTGTGGTTCTGCCAAGCCCAGTGTCTGCGCTCTGTGTCCCTGCACATCCTCTCATCCTCTGCTCTGCAGGACGGATCTTCTCACTGTCACCAACTCCCCTCTCCTTTCAGATGTCCTTGTCCTGCCCGGAGGTGACCCAGCAGATGGCTACGATGATGCCAGGGAGGTTCCTGATGCGGGGGAGGATGATGTGCCTGGGCAGGGAGAGTGGGAAATGCCCAGGATGCCAGAGGAGGGAGCAGGGCCCAGGGCTGCACCTGGAGGTGAGAGGGAAAGAGAGCGCCGCCTGTTCCTAGGGTTCCATCCCTGGTGCCCCTCAAGTCACTACCCTACTGACACCCAAACCTGCTGGGAAGGGGGAACCTGGCATGGGAGTTTTCCTTGAAAGGCCCGGGGGTGGGAAAAAGAGCTGAAAGTAGTGAGGAGCGGGGAGGGTGGTGGTGTACAGACCCCATGGGGTGAACTGAAACGTCCGGCCTTGCTGCTTGCAGGGGGCAGCCTGCGCTCCTGGAGAAGTGCCGACGGTCCCTGGAGCTGAAGGAGACACCTCGTCCCTGTCCCCAGGGAACATGGGCTATGATGATGCTGAAGAGGTGCCTGTGGCACTTCCCTGTGAGGACGCAAAGGCTGTGACACCGGAGCTTGGTGCACAGCAGTCCCTGAGCCCCAGGCCAGGAGAGCCCATCCCTGCTGCACAGCTGGGTGCAGCCGGGAGGGAGGAGAGGTCTGTGCAGCTGGGAGAGCTGCGAGCACCAGGGGACTGTCTCCCTTGAGCCATGGGCAGCAGAAACCGCCTGAAGTTTCCTCCATTTTTATTCCCATTTTTATGCTGTGCATTCTTATATTTGCTTATTAAAAGCCTCTGGGGGCTTTGACCCAGAGCTGATGCTTCCCTGCCAGGTGTCAGGGCATCTCCCTGAGGCTGCTCAGGGGGAGCAGAGAACAGAGACACCATGGCAAGGAAGGGACACGTCTCAGGGACAGCAGGCGCAGGGTCAGCCTGTGGGGCTGCGTGAGGCCATGGTCCCTGGGGAATAATCTTGGTGACAGAGACATCTCCATCCTGCTGCCCACAGGCAGCTTCTAGACAAAATGGCTCTCTGATAGGTCCCGTGATGCACCCCAGTGGGAGCACCCATTTTCTCCCCCAAGGGTTCCAGCTGCTCTTTCCCCCAGGCCCTGCCTGGGCCACACTGGTCCCACAGTGCAGAGGCCACGACAGAGCTGCCATGTCAGGGTGAGCCCTGGGCTTTTGTCTCACAGAAGCGAGCCCTAAGGTGACCACAGGGCCCTGAACACCCCAGCCAGCCCCAGGTGGGATCATGGCCTGTGGATTACCTCCCACAATGCTTGGGAGGCAGCTCTGCTCCCCACTGCCCTGGCACAGGGTGCAGAGCCACCTCCTGGGAAACACGTGGCTGGGATTCCCTCTCCTCATGCTTTGCCAGAACCCCAGTCTCCATGGGCTGTTCCTCCTGCCTTGCAGACCCTTGGCAGCCCTGGGCAACCCTCCTCCTGCTCCCCTCCAGCTCCCACCCCTGCCCCCCTGCTGCCTTGCCAGTGATGTCAGTTTGGGTTGTGTGCGGGGCAGTACTTGTGGGCAGGTACAGGAGGGCTGGGAGCACCGAGGATGAGGGCAAGGTTCCCTCAGCGCTGTTAGAGGGCCAGGGGGATGGAGAAAGCTTCCCCACAAGACGCGTGCGGCAGCCAAAAGTCGTGTTCCAGCCCCTGGCCTGGAGAAGGGCCCATCTGGGAGGATGCTCATGTGGGCACATTTCCATGGCAGTGGAGATTTTGTGTCCCTCCACTAAAACAGGTGCTGCTGGGAGCTGAGCCAGGGTCCTTCTCCCTCAGCTGGGGTTTCACCTGCCCCAGCACCCACGGCACAGAAACCTTGTGCAGAAGCCAGGCTGGGAGAAGAGTTTGGCACCTGGGCAGGACCTGGCGCCCAAACTGCCCAACTACCCTCCCTGCTCCCGCTGGTGGGTCTCCGCACTCCACCGGCTATTCCCCAATGGGCTTCTCTTCTGCAGGCTGGAAGGTGTGTTGGGTGTGTGTGGCAGGATTGCCTGTGAGGAGTAGCTGCAGCTCCATAGTGCTGCAAACAGCAGGATCTGGCCCTGGAGCAGAAGTGGAGAGGAGGCAGAGGTTGCCAACATCTTCTCCTATAGCACTGTTGTCCCATTCCCTGCTGGGAGCTCCTCCACCCCTGGGCTGACCCTGGGGGCACCTGGGGGGAGCCGAGGTTCACACATCCCTCTGCCCCACACCTGAGAGCCTTCCTGCTGGCAGCCCTCATGGGAGAGCAGTGTTCCCAGGGCAAGATCCCCACAATGATGCGTGACATCCATGGGCATTAAAAACACAGCCTGGAGAACTCCCACTGGGATAAGCTCCAGCCCTGCATCTCAGATAAATAAGGTATAAAGGTGAAGTAAAGAAGAGGGGAGTGTTATCTTCTGAACATGGGATGGTGGGGGCCTCTGGACAGTATGGACACTGATCTGCACACTCCAGGTGCCCCAAGTGGGAACTGGGGAGAAGAGCCCAGTGCCTGTCCGGTGTGACTGTCCCACCAGCTCTGCCCTCCCACAGGTGTAATATTTCTCCCATAATCTGGCACCTGGTAGAGGTTTGCCTCTTCCTCCTTGAGGAAATAAGCCCCAGGCATGGGTGTGCTTGAGAGGGCAGCACCACTGAGCAGAAAGAACCTGTTTCATGCATTTTGGGACCTAACAGGATGGCCCTGCCAGCTGGGTCCCTTCTCTGCATCAAAGCAGGATTGTCACTGTGCCCCAGATCTGTGTCTGCTCCTGCAGCTCCTGATGATCTACCTGAGGGGGGTCGCAGTGAGACCCCAGCCCTCAGCACCGCTGCCCGACACTGGGCAGAGCTCAGATGTGGAAAGCCCATGGGAGAGCAGCCTTATTTCTCTGAGTTTGGGCTCCCTGTTCCCAAGGAGGAGCAGTGCAACAGGGCGAGGTGCCCCCAGGCTCTGATGACATCCCAGGGTGTGTGGTGGGGGCACACAGGGGCAGAAATCCCATAACCTTTCCTCTAGTCACTGGGCCTTGCCCTGCACCACTCCTCCCACCAGCATCCCAGGAGGTGAGGTGGACAGCAGGCTTCCATCTCCTTGGGGCTGCGGGTGTGGGTTGGGCTCAGGGACCTCCCCACTCCTCCAGTGCTGAGGCCTGTCCTGACAGCAAAGCAGTGCCCTGGGACAGCCCTGGCTGGGGTCTCCGTGGCAGGGTGCCTGAGCAAGGGCAGCTGTTAACTCCAAGGCTGAGAGCCTGACCACATGCAGGGGTGGTATCTTCGTGGTGGTAAACATGGGACAATTGTGCTGCTCAGCTGCAAGGAGTGCCTCTCCCTGGGACTGGGCGGACGATGGCCTCCCTGTGGGCAGTGTGCCCTGGTCTGGGAACTGAGGTTGAGGTGAAGGATGTGTGTGAGGAGGGGAGCAGTCTGTGCACCAGTGAGAATGACCATGAGGATAGAGACAGAGTCTTTGCAGAGACCCCTCAGTGGAGAGATCCCGATCCCTGTGGAGCAGGGAAGGAGATCCAGCTGGAGAACACCCCAAAGACACACTGAGTGGAGAGTCCTGCCCAGGGGAAGGCTGGGGGCTTGTGGCGCAAGAGGAAGGCTCCTTCTAACCTGTAGATGTGCAGCTACAGCGCATGGGCAGTGCTCTGGCAAGAGGGGAAGGAGCAAGGAGGGCCAGGGCAGGATGGACGAAGGCAGCAGGGCTCTGCAAGACCCTAAGGGAGAAAAACATTGCTGAAGCCCGGGGTTGAACCAGGGACCTTTAGATCTTCAGTCTAACGCTCTCCCAGCTGAGCTACTTCAGCCCTGCCCCAGCAGCCCTTGTCCCTGTGCCACCCGTGCCAAGCCACAGCCTGACACACGTGAGGAGAGCTCCTTGGGGACGTTCCCAGGAAAAAGCTGTGCCCAGTGCAAGCAGAGTGGGCCTGGCCTCTCCCTGCCCCTGTGGCCAGGTGGGCTCCAGGTGCGGGGTGGGTGCCAGCTTACAGTGGGAGTGACAAGATATATGTTGGGCCTTAAATACAAAGGTGATGGTTGCAAAGTCAAGTGAGCAGGCCAGGCACATGCAGCTGCAAAGGCTGAGGAAGAAAGAAGTGTGGGATTGGTGGCAGACACCTCTCACAGAGAAGTGAAGGGCCAGGGGAGGAAGAGCTCGTGTTGGTGCCATAGGCTTTTGCTTCATTCTTGTCTGAGCCAGAGCTTTTTGTTCAATATTGGGAGACCATATGTAGGGGGAAAGGAGGCTTGGAAACCTCCAAGGGTCTGGGTTGCAGAGCCTCTCAAGATAACCTCTTCCAGTGTGTAAGTGACCTCATGGTTATGACCTCATGGTCCTCATCTCCTGCCTGAACATTCTTTCCACTTTTGTCCCTTGCCTCTCCTTTTCCCACCATCCACCACGATGAAGAGCCTGGCTCTATTTTCTTAGCTGCCTGACAGGTACTGAAATGCTCCTACGAGGTTTTCCAAAGCCTTCTCGTCTCCATACTGGAGAGTGTTCCCTCAGCCTTTCCTCAGGTGGGAAGCTCTCCAGCCCCCTGTACGTCTACACATGCCCGACTGTATTGGTGCCTCTTCATTGATCTTGCTCCAGTTGATTGATGTCCTTCCTGTACGGGGGGCAGGAGGCCCCAAACTCAGTGCAGTACTGGGCATGTGGTCTAGCAAGCACTGAATGGAAGGGGAGAATCCCTCCCCCTCATCTCCTGGCCATGCTCCTCTTCAGACAGCCAGGATGCTGTTGGACTTCTGGGTTGCCAGCCGTCACCGCTGACTCATGTGCAGCTTGTTGTCCACCATGACCCCCAGGGCCTTTTCTGCTGAGCTGCACCCCACCCAGGGCTGTTGCCCAGGGTTAGGCCAGCCCAGGGAAGGACTTGGTTGAAGATGAGGGGTGTTGAGGGAAAGGATTAGGGAGGTAGGTAGGGCTTAGATTTCAGGTATCTGGTGAGGGTTTCAGCTTCAGTGATCAGGGCAGGGCTAACGATGAGAGCTCACCTTTCAGGGTTAGGTGTTAGGCTATAGGCAAAGGTTTAGGGGGAGCTGCGAAGTGCCAGGCCTGAGGGGCAAGGATGTGGCACTCGGCGTGTATTTGTCCTCAGAGTGACCGGGGGAAAACCTCAGCTGCTGATGACCAAAGGCATCACCATTCAGATGGGCTGGGAATTAGCACTGAGCCCCTTGGCAGGGCACATCCAAGGGGCTACACGACACAGGATGTCTCTGTCTCCTTTCTTTGTCACCCTGAAGTCACTTGCCTCTGTTCTTCTGCTCTAATCAGCCCCCAGAGAGGCTCACGTCAATCTCCTGAGGGAGCTTCCTCACCCAAACCCCTCAGCATGCCCCACTAAACCCCAAAGACTCTATTCCTCCCATAGCTCTCCAGACTCAGTAACTTTCCCCTGGGAGCTTGTTAGAGTGCAGCAACTCTAATTAGTTTATTCTTGCATCTTAATTTCTGTCCAGTCGCAGGGGGGCTTTTAGAACAGGCTGTTTTGACGATGGGTTTTGCTAAATATAATGATGTTAACAACCACATGATGTAACACAAGTGCATTTCTTTCTCAGTTATACCTCAGAAATGC